CATCATCATCATCATCATCATCATTCCAAGACGATGAAATCAAAAATAGGTACATAGCGCTGCACTAGAAGAATCAATCTAATGAGACTTTCATCTTATATTCTCTAGGCAAAATTCAAAATTCCGAAGTGCAAATAGTATCCCCTGACTATCGAAAGAAACAAAATTGTTCTCAGAGAAATCACCGTATTCAGCACCAACTTGTTGAAGATTGAAATAAATGCAAGGTTGGCGGGAATATATCCTAATACATTCGGGTCATTAATCACCCACTTTTGTTCCAGGCCACTTGATCCTCGTTCCGGTTCGGCATTTCCCAGAGATATTTCAATACAGAGGTATTTTGTTGAGGCTGGGAAAGCGCTGGAGGACTGACAAAACAAGAGACAGGGCCTTCCAATTGCCAGCATCCTCCTCTAGTAATTTTTTTACGTGGGCGCTTACGCTGTCTATCGCTCGTAACAAGAGAAGCGAGCACAGTGGACGTGAATGAGCCCAGTTATCATCGCAGGACGTCACTGACTTCCAATCTAATAAGCGATCTCTCAGAATAAAGCTATCTGTCTTGCGACTATTCTTTCGGTTTCTACAGCCGCAGTTTTTTTACTTGCAGTAAGGGCCAATATGTTGTCATTTGAATTCATACTGCAGCGTGCTTGAATCTCATCTCAATTCAATATATCTAGCGCAAGTGCGTAATGTCTTCAATCAGTGAAGATTTAATTGCAGGAGCTAGAAGTATCTCTGATTTTGAATGCTGTCAGTCGCTTCAACTTCCTACTTTTTGTGCTCGCTGTTTCCGTTCTAGACAATCTGATTGTAATTGTCTGATCTACTTTCGCTAAATATGATATACGCATCAGTTTTCACGTTTCTAGAAATGAGTAGATTCTATATAATTCACTTGAAAAAAGGTAGTTACCTATTCTGGCTGTAAGCTAATCTACCGCCCCCCCCCCCGACTGCAACCCATTTTCGGGCCGCGGGGCTGTCGACCTCTGACTTTGCTAACCTTGTTTGCTTTTATTTTTTAATATAGTACCTGTGAAACTTTCTCCACTAAATCAGTTTCTCGTCTGCCCATAATGTCGTTAGGTTCCCCCGCAGAAGGTGTCCACTACTCTACGCCCTCTTACTCCCGATCAACCACTTTTATCTTATCTCAAAGTTCAACCGCCTCAGTATTTGTCGAATCTTTAACATGCAAATTTTCCACTGGAAGCTATATTCTACCCAACAATATACCCTCTTCACACACTGGTGGAGGGTATTTTGCTGAAGATCCTGTCGACTGGAACTTTTGGTTAGTGCCCGAGGTGCTCAATAATCAGGTATTAACCTGGGCCCCCCTTGAACTACTCCAAAATATGCATTCTCTAATGTAAACAGTTGAAGTTAGAGTGGAGGGATTTGAAGTAGGTGCGTTGCGCTGCTTTACGTCGATATTTGTCCTTTATCAGATATCCCGTTATCAACCTTTGGTATATTGATAGTCAACGCCTCCAGGGCTGCTGTTGCTTTCGTGTCATATCCATGTACATCGAGGGTCTCCTATCTCTTGCCCTTTCATGTCACTGTGTGAAAAGTTAGACTTTATTCAGGCTACTACGTATACTTGGGTACTGATATATCTTATATCGATTTATAAACTCTGAGATTGGTCTTCAGTATTCCTAGGCCCTTGAACGGTCAATTAGTCTCATATGAAAATCCTAGAGAATGGATTGAAATAGGTAGATATAAGGAATTGAATACATGAATTCAATCATATATATGTTTCATATCGTGCAGACCAATCTGATAACATTTTCCAAGACTGGACCACCTTGAGATGACACCTGATCAGTTAGAAGAGAATCCTTGGAGATTGGAAATTGGAAACAACTATACCCACTCTAATTCAGACCATGTCACTATTGTCAGGCTCTGGCTTCACGGTGACTATATCAACAGACGATTCATCGTCTGCGCAAGAATCGCCATTTTGGTAAATACTTTCCTCATCATCATCCCCCCCATAAACAGCGTTATCTGAAAACCCGAGAAACGCCTCGGAGAATGTAGTTCGTAGATCCTTAACCATCTCTTCGCGCGCAGTCAATGAGGCTTGGAGGTAGGCCACTACCTCACGCAAACGATGGTTCTCTTGTTGAAGATTTTGGTGCATGCTTGTGTTTTGTTGCTGACCTGAGCTCTGGTTGAGGTAGTACAACAGCCGATCGAGCGTGGGATACAAATCTGAAAGGCGTGATTCAAGGTTTTGCATCTTATGCCTTTCAATGCTTAAGTCATTTGCAATAGCCTGGCAGGTTTCTGTAGCAACCCGATGAGAGGTTTCCAGTTGCGATTTCACATATTCCAGACCGAATATCTTCCTTTCTAGGTGACTGCAGTGAATGCTTAGCTTTTGATGAGCGATTGAGTCATTTCCGATCCTCGTTTCAAGCTGCCCTTGATAGTATTTAGATGCTTGTTCCTGGCGAACTAGCTGAGTGATAAATGAAAATATCTCGGGTTGATAGTCTTTGATGGAATTTGGCTGCATGTCCTTCCGTTAGTATGAAGTCCAAATCAGCAATAGAATGCCTACCTGGGCTCCGTCCTCACTGTACGCCATCTCAAACTCTTCGTTGGGCATGATAAATTGATTCTTTAGAGGTTTGATTTACTGAAGAGAATTGAGTCAAATTGATACTTAGCTGCATTACATTTAACTAGAATTCAGATACACGTGATTCATCCCTAAGGACCGAAAATTGGGGGGGG